TGTTAAAAAGCTCATTAAGTTAGTGTGCTATTTTTCTTATAAATAGGATGCTAGTTTCTCAATCTTGGCATAAGGAAAAATAGGAAGATAAAATCCTAATTTCAAGAGAGAGAGAGGTTGTTTTGTTATTCTTGTATATTTATAATCTTATTTCTAAGAGAAAAGAAAGAATAATAGTTTATAACCAATCCTTGTTGTTCCTTTTGTTTTACCTTGTTTTCTTTGTTAACCCTAATCCTTGTGTGTTTCTTGATCATAAAGAAACCGTTTATACTTTGTTTAAAGACATCTGATTCACAACAAATTGGTGCGGTGAGCGTAGAGAAGATGCTTTCAACAAAGTATAAGATTGAAAAGTTCACCGGAGTGAACGACTTCAGTCTGTGGCGCTTGAAGATGAAAGCCCTACTGGTTCAACAGAGTTGTTTGGAAGCGTTGAAGGGAGAGGCAGCCATGGACGTTGCGTTAACCGCAAAAGAAAAGATGGGCATGATTGAGAAAGCCCACAACACAATATTGTTGAGCCTTGGTGATAAGTTCTTTGACAGGCATTAAAGGAGACTACAGCATCGGGATTATGGGTGAAACTTGAAAGTTTGTACATGACCAAATATCTGGTGAATCGACTCTACCTAAAGTAAGCTTTGTATTCATTCAAGATGAGTGAAGACAAAGTGTTGGCTGAGCAGTTGGATATGTTCAATAAGCTGAATCTTGATCTTGAAAATATTGATGTAAAGATTGATGATGAAGATCAAGCACTGTTGTTGTTGTGTGCTTTTCCCAGAACACATGCTCACTTCAAAGAAACTCTCTTGTATGGAAGGGAGTCCCTGACCTTTAAAGAAGTTCAATCAGCCTTGTATTTTAAGGACTTGAACGAACGAAAGGAGCATAAACCATCGACGGTGGGTGAAGGTTTGACCGTTAAGGGAAAATTCTTGCGAAAGGATGGTAAGTTCGACAAGAAGAAAGGTAAAAGTCAACAAAAATATTATAGTGGCGAAACATCTGGTATCCGGTGTTATCACTGTAAGAAGGAGGATCACATAAGAAAGGTGTGCCATGAACACCTGAAATATCATGGAGGTAATGGCAACACAGCCATTGTTCAAGATGACTTCGACTCATCTGATGTTCTTGTGGTTTCAAGTGGCGACTCGAGAAAAGATTGGATTATGGATTTTGCACTTGGCACATGACTCCAAATAGAGAATTGTTTGAGGAGATATGTGATCAAGATGGTGGATTTGTGCTGCTAGGAAACAACAAATCTTGCAAAATTACAGGTATTGGATCGGTTAGATTCAAGTTCCATGATGAGTCAATAAGGTATGTACCTGACTTGAAGAGAAATTTGATTTCTCTTGGTGAATTCGACAGAAAGGGATACGTTTTTCAAGGAGAGAAAAGTATCCTAAGAGTTATGAAGGGGTCAGAGGAAGTCTTGAGAGGCTTGAAGAAACAAGGCTTGTATACCCTCGAGGATGAGGTCATAAGTGGTTCGACAAATGTTACATCCATAAAACCTGTGTCGAAGACAGAATTATGGCACATGAGATTGGGCCATGTCATTGAAAGAGGTCTGGTCGAATTGGGGAAGCAGAACCTGCTAGGAGGTGACAAAGTCGGAAAGTTGGAGTTTTGTGAATCATGTGTATTTGGTAAATCCTGTAGTGTGAAGTTTAACAAAGGCAAGCAAATAACACATGGATCCCTGGATTACATTCATGCTGATCTTTAGGGGCATGCAAGGAATCCTTCACACTCAGGTGCAAGGTATTTTCTATCCATCGTTGATAACTATTCCAAAAAGCTATGGGTATTCATTCAGAAGACGAAGGATGAAACTTTTAAGAATTTCAAAAGTTGGAATATTCTGGTCGAAACTCAAACTGACAAAAAGGTTAAGAGGTTAAGAACCGACAATGGTCTTGAATTCTGCAACGAAGCGTTCGACAGCTAATGTGTTGAGTCTGGGATTTCAAGGCATAAGATTATAGCAGATACTCCTCAAAAAAATGTCTTAGCTGGGAGATTCAATTGAACAATCCTTGAAAGGGTTAGATGCATGTTGGTTCGTGTTGGATTGAAGAAGGTGTTTTGGGCGGAAGCTGTTTTGACAACAGCTTACATGATAAATAGATGTCCCTCGACTGTCTTGGGAACGAAGACACCTGAAGAAGTTTGGTCGGGACGTCCACCTAGTCTCGACAGACTGAGAGTATTTAGCTGTGTGGTCTATGCTCATATTAGGCAAGACAAGTTTGAACCTAGAGCTCTGAAATACATGTTAATGGGATACCCCGAAGGAGTCAAAGCTTATAGGCTATGGTGCCTAGAGCAAGGTCACAAGAGGTGTGTCATCAGTCGAGATGTAGTTTTCAATGAAGCAGAGATGGATTTCAAGAAACCTGATGATGCTGACGAAGAGTTGGAACAGAGAGAGATTCCTGTTGAGGTGGAGCATGTTGATGCTCAATTTCCTACCCCAAATGAAGTCGAAGAAGACGCAGAATATGTTTTCGAAGATGAGGAGACTGATAATGACTACCTGCTAGCAAGAGACAGGTCGAGGAGAGTCATCAAGCCACCTCAGAGACTTGGGTATGCAGACCTTATAGCTTATGCCTTAATCTCTACAAGTGAGGTTCTAGACGAAGAACCTAGATACTATAAGGAAGTTATGAGGAGTCGAAAGAAGACTGAATGGCTGAAGGCCATGGATGATGAGATGAAATTTCTTTATAATAACAACACCTGGGAGTTGATCAAGAAACCTGCTGGAGCCAGGTTAGTTAGCTGTAAATGGATTTTCAAAGTTAAGAAAGGAATCGAAGGAGTGGCGTCGAAGAGATACAAGGCAAGCTTTGTTGCTAGGGGGTTCACTAAAAAAGAAGGTGTCGACTTTAATGATGTGTTCTCTCCTATTGTGAAGCACAGATCCATCAAATGTTACTTGCCACAGTGGCACAGTTCAACCTTGAACTTGAACAAATGGATGTGAAGACTGCGTTCTTATATGGTGACATAGATGAAACAATCCTGATGAGGAAACTTGAAGGGTATGTCGAAAAAGGGAAGGAAGATTACGTGTGCAAGCTGAATAGAGCCTTATATGGACTGACACAATCTCCTCGACAGTGGAATAGGAGATTCGACAAGTTCATGACACGCATAAGTTTCATCAGAAGTCAGTTCGACCATTGTGTTTAGTTCAGATTTCGACCGGGTAATTCATTTTTTATTTTGTTGCTCTATGTGGATGATATTCTAATAGCAAGCAACAATGTCAAAGATGTAACGAGGGTGAAGGCTGAACTTAATAAGGAGTTCGACATGAAGTATCTGGGAGTTGCACCCAGGATTCTTGGGATTGACATTCGAAGAGATAGAAAGAAGTTGAAATTATGCTTATCTCAAGAGGCATACCTACGGAAGGTCCTCGAAAAGTTTGGTATGTCGAATTCAAATCCTGTTGTGACTCTGAGAAACCCTCAATTCAAGTTAAGTATAGATCAGTGTCCCAGCACCGATGTTGAAAGAACTTATATGAATAGGATTCTATATGCTAATATAGTGGGTTCTTTGATGTATGTTATGGTATGTGCTAGACCCGACATAGCATATGCAGTAAGTCTTGTAAGAAGGTACATGGCGAATCCTGGAAAGCCTTGCTGGCAAGCATTGAAGTGGATTCTAAGGTATATAAATGGGTCTCTGAATAGAGTCCTACTTTATGGCGGAGCCTTGGGTGAAGATAGTAAACCAACAATAAAAGTCTGTTCACATGTTGCTGATATAATCACCAAGACGTTTCCCAGTTGCAAGTTTTTCCACTATATGCAGTTGATAAAGCTGCATGAAGAAAGCTAGTTTCTTGATGTTATAGAGTTAGATCCAAGGTGGAGATTTGTGAGATATTGGATCGAACTCTAGTATGGTCGAAGGGTATTTTCTGGTTCGACAGGAATTAAGCATGAGGTCGAAGTATATCTGCATGCTGTTGTCGGAGTAATGCGTGTTGTAGTCGAAGTTTGTTCTAAAATACATTAGTCAATATTGCTAGGGTTGTTAGCATGTTGAATTGGGCCTTGCTTGTAAGCACAATTGTTTAAGTTAGCTTGTACCCTAAGTTAGCTTGTAATGGGTAATTGTTAAAAAGCTCATTAGATTAGTGTGCTATTTTTCTTATAAATAGGATGCTAGTTTCTCGATCTTGGCATAAGGAAAAATAGGAAGATAAAATCCTAATTTCAAGAGAGAGAGGTTATTTTGTTATTCTTGTATACTTGTACTCTTGTTTCTAAGAGAAAGGAAAGAATAACAATTTATAACCAATCGTTGTTGTTCCTTGTTGTTTTACCTTGTTTTCTTTGTTAACTCTAACTCTTATGTGTGTTTTGATCATAAAGAAACCGTTTATAATTTGTTTAAAGACATCTGATTCACAACTATATATATATATATATATATATATATATATATATATATATATATATATATATATATATATATATATATATATATATATATATATATATATATATATATATATATATATATATATATATATATATATATATATATATATATTTATATTAAGATTGTCAACTTTCCCTATGATAAATATTACGGGCAATTAGCTTATTCAAACCAAATCTTTCTAGTGAGTGCAATATCATCATGGCACTTGAGTCAAATTGTACACAAAATAAGTTAAACATTGAATAATTTTAAGTAAAATAGCTAAATATTAAAGGTTACATCTTGCAAAAAGTCCAAATTTATATTTTCGATCATGTTGTGTAACCTTGATCATACATACAAATACAAATATTAACAAGCAAGCATTATTTTATTTATGATACATAAAACAAGTAACAAGGAATATACACATAGGAAACTAGACATCACTTATCACTCACAAACATGCATACTATTGTTAATTATGGTAGATTGATTGACCTTTATTATACACAATGATATATTAACCGATTTCATATGTTGACTTTTGAATTTGGCAATGGAACCCACAAAAGATGATTTATAGAAAAGAAGTGACACACTGGAGTATTCTTGCCAGGCTTAACTCTCAATGTCCTGAATATCATATGATTTGGGTCCCAATCAGCTGTATCTAAATGGCACATACCAAGAGCTTCCATTTTATCTCCATTCTTATCACCAACAAGTGTGACTTTGAACACTTTAGTCCCAGTAGCCATGGTGTGGCAATAGTAAATGGCATATGGATATGGGATGGGATGGCAAGATACCCATTTGGGAGCATCGATGTCATGCGATACCTTCAAAATGGTGTATTTCTGAAGAGGAGCAGCAGTAGGTGAAGGATAACTAGTTCTGAGAATATTTTGCTTGTTTTCTGAACCAATTATTTTGTCAACAAATTCAAACATGGACTCTACAGAGTTGGCACAAATCTTGGTCTCTCCTATGACAGTTTCTTCTTGACAATGTTCGAGTGTGCCTTTCATAATTTTGGCTTCAAGAGAGTCTTCTGGGATTGAAAAAAGTTGAAGAACGCTAGAGAGTTGTGATACTGAGAAAGGAATTGAGTCAGCCTCTTCTTTTCTTGAAAAAAAGTGAGGAATCTCTTGATGAGAAAATTGGAGGGTCATTACATTTCCAACATGAAGATCCTCTAGGTTGAAAAATCCCTTCTCAAAAGCTTCTGTGTGATCAGGACTGGGATCATGAGTTTTAACTTTATAATTATATTGAGGTTTTTTGCTTTCACGACTACCCCAAGGGCGCCAAGGATTAGGATCACGGGTATTAACTTCATAATCATAATTAGATTTTTTGGTTTTACGACTACCCCAAGGGCTCCAAGAATTAGGATACACTTCATAATCATAATTAGGTTTTTTGGTTTCACGACTACCCCAAGGGCTCCAAGAATTAGGATCACGGGTATTAACTTCATAATCGTAATTAGGTTTTTTGGTTTCACGACTACCCCAAGGGCTCCAAGAATTAGGATCACGGGTATTAACTTCATAATCGTAATTAGGTTTTTTGCTTTCACGACTACCCCAAGGGCTCCAAGAATTAGGATCACGGGTATTAACTTCATAATCGTAATTAGGTTTTTTGCTTTCACGACTACCCCAAGGGCTCCAAGAATTAGGATCACGGGTATTAACTTCATAATCGTAATTAGGTTTTTTGCTTTCACGACTACCCCAAGGGCTCCAAGAATTAGGATCACGGGTATTAACTTCATAATTGTAATTAGGTTTTTTGCTTTCACGACTACCCCAAGGGCTCCAAGAATTAGGATCACGGGTATTAACTTCATAATTGTAATTAGGTTTTTTGCTTTCACGACTACCCCAAGGGCTCCAAGAATTAGGATCACGGGTATTAACTTCATAATCATGATTAGGTTTTTTGGTTTCACGATTACCCCATGGGTGCCAAGGATTAGGATCACGGGTATTAACTTCATAATAGGAATTAGGTTTCTTGGTTTCACGACTACTCCAAGGGAGCCAAGAATTATGATCATGGATATTAACTTTATAATCATAATCAGGTTGTTTAGCTTTATCGATTGAGTGATGCAGATGATTAGATTGTTTGGTTTCCTCAATATCCTTTTGATCTGGCAACTCAATTTTCAAGTCTTCAACAATGATTCCTTCGCCCATCTACAAACATGTTGAAGCAAATATTAGTAGTGTAATTAACTAGCAAAATTGATATATACTAGACTAAATTAGATTTTGATCTCTTTTATTTCACTCAGATTCATAGATCCTCAATTTTAAATTTAAATATTGTTATTTTTCTCTCTTTTTTACATTTTAAATTGATGATGAATTTTATTTAAATGACAGTCAGTTGTGAAACGTGATAAATCATCATATAAAAATATAAATAATGGTCACCTTCTTAATTTTTAATGTAAAAATGTGAGATAGAGACAAAAATTATTTAAATTTAAAATAGAAAAATTAATTTTATAGATAAGATAAAATACGAAAATAGAAATGTATAACTAAGCCTGTATCTTATTACTTGATATTTTGATTGCAAGGAATTTTAACTATAAGAATCGAAAATATTTCAACACCATCTTCCTAAACAAGTATATATTAGTGATATTAAGTGATATTAGTACACAAAGTAAATATAAAGATTTTCTTAAATATGTGATTGAATTACCGTAACGAAGAAAAGGACCAAAGAAAGAAAGTGAAATGCTAATGTAGGAGCCATCTTTCGTGTATTATAAAGAATCTTCATCGAGGATGTGTTTTACTTGAAATGGAATAACCCTTTTTATAGGTGCTTTTGAGATTTCGTAAATCGTTTAAAATATTATATTATATAAAATATATAAAACAAACAAAATAAGAAATATTATAATATTAAATAATATAAAATGCACAAAGGGATTTATATATAATACACTTGATACAGAAAATTCAGAAAATCCAAGAAATTTGTATACCAGTCATGCATGTGACATAGTATAGGCTGCTACGTGTGTGAAATACAAATAAAATAATCTCCAATAATGCAAATGAAAAAACAATATACAAATACAATATGCATTTAATTAGTATACAATATTAGTGTATAGATGTTTTATGCTATTAGAGCTATCACGAGCTATATATTTTATGGTCGGCCGGATCAGAAAAATCTTTATTAAAGATACATCCTTATCTTTTTTGCCCAATATATTTTTACCTATGTTTTTTATAGGCCGGGTCGGACCAACACTTAAGTTTACCTATTAAAAAAATTTTAAGAAAATTTTATTCTATACTCTAATATTTATCCAAGTATTTTTAATAATTTTGTAAATATTTTAACTTTATGTTTGTTAATTTTTTTATGATGCAGATAAATAAGTCAAAAGTTATTGTTGGGAATTATACTACATAAATCGAATAACTTAAGTGTTACCGTGAAAATCGGATATCAGACTATTAATTAACTTGAATTACAAATCATGAAAATTCACCACCGAGCTTTGATTTATTCAAAGGAAAGGGTAACGATCGAAGAAAATCCTAAGTGCGCTATGTAATAACATAGCTAGAGATCTAAAGTTCGGGGGTTGGTTATACCTAGGGAAGGTGTTAGCATTCTAAGTATCTGTAGTACTCTACAGGAACCTCTTGTTCGTATTTGTGTTATGCTATAGGTTGCTTGCTGAGGAAAAAGTGCTAAGGTAAAGACCTAAGGTATATACACTAAGTATGCTCGTCAAGACATCGCATCTCATGCCTACGTATCCTAACTAGGATGGAATCAGAGCAACCGTAGTTCACATAACCAGGGATGAGGAACTCTTGACTGTGGTCAAGGTTCTAGAGGAGAAGTAAGTGTACATAACCATGATACTTGCACAGAGTTAACCAACTCTCTAAGTCTAAGTTGAAAACTAACTAAAGAAAACTACTTTAACCAAAGTCAAAGGGGGAAGTGAGTATCCATAATCATGTGCCTACGTATCCTGACTAGGAAATGGGAATCAGAGCAACCGTAGTTTGGCCTTGCTAGGTTGAGGAACTCTTGATAACGACCAAGGTTCCAAAATGGAGTAAGTATCTATAACCATGATACTTACACAGAGTGCGACGACTCCAAACCTAAACTAGGTTATAACAGACATGACTCTCACAAGGTCTCGGGGGTAAGGTGGACAAGGCTAAACAGCATGACATTGCAGCCAACTATAGGATCCTTTCCTTTGGAATCGATACAAGCAAACAAATAGTCAAGATATGCCTCAGCCTTCGAGATGAGTTAACAAAAGAGAAACAAACCTAAAGCATAGAAGTAACAATCTCAAAATAGAATCGACCAAAAAGAAATATCATAAGATGCTGAATGCGGCATAAAGAACCAGAGGAGAAGAAATATATGTTACAAACTCACAAAGGTAGACGTCAGATTAATTAAAGAAATTAACCGGATAATAATCTAAGTGATGGAAAACTAGAATCCTAAATAATTAAATATGCGCCATCGCTTGCATAGCTGCAGCCAAAGCAGCATCATTCCTTCCTGCCATACTACTCAACTAAAACAACACTAGGTTAACAAGACACACCAACTCTATCCTAAGGACAGACTCAACAACTACACTGGTCGGACGGACCGACCTGCTCTGATACCAACTTGTAACACCCCACTTCCCAAATTAAAATAAAATACGATTAAATCAAATGAATATCAGAGTTTCCCTTCAAACAGGATGTCACATTCACAAAGATTCAACAAAACACCTCATTTCCTGATTTTCACAATAAGCAGCGGAAAATTTTTCATTAATATATATATCATTCACGGCCATCCGCCGAAATACACAAAATTCATTCATCATTAAGGTTCATCAAAATAAGATACGTTACGGGAATACAACAATTCGATCACAAAAAAATAAACTCTCAAATCCCGTGTTGCATATCAGAGCATCCTAGCACTCGACCTGCACACCACTATCGAAGCTAGCTAAGCACCTGGATTATCTGTACTTCGGAAGAAGCACAGACCACAACAACAACAGATGGGGTGATAAAACATGATCAAAATTACCGGTAATATAACACATGAATAAAAGGCAGTAAATAACAATCATCACCCCACCAACATCAAACAGAACCTACTGCCCAACCATCAACACAACATATCATAATGCAAGAATGCAACCCAACACATGCATGCGGTACCGACTCATCATCACTGATGGACACCTGGCCATCAACCCTCCACAAAGGAGCACATCATCATCACCGATGGGCACCTGGCCATTAACCCTCCACAAAGGAGCACATCATAAACAGGATAGATCACATACACCCACCAATGGCAATGATCTATCCCCACCACAAACACTGATGGACACCTGGCCATCACCCTCCACAAAGGAGCACATTATCACTACCGATGGGCACCTGGCCATCAACCCTCCACAAAGGAGCACATCATCACACCATGCTATGCATAACCCCAATGCACAACACACAACATCAAGCACACTAAGTGCACACGATCCTACTGATCATATCCCCATACATCATACACATGCATATATATATATACACACCAATCAATTATCAGTCAAGTTAAATAACAGTGAAACCTCAATCGACACTGATTACACACGATCCTCCTGATCGCCTCACTATGCATCATATATATATATATATATATATATATATCTTACTTACCAATTAATCATGTCAATTAAATTTAATATTCCAAAATTCATCTTTCCACATCAAGTATAATCTCTTTACCCCTAAACAACATCTCTCGATCTATCATTACTTAAGGAATCCCACAAAACGAGACACAAGGCAAAACAACACAAAAATCACATTCTGTCACGCTCGCTGGCTCACTCGCCTAGCGAGGCCTCAGCGAATGTTCGCTACTCGTTCGCCTAACGAACTCCCTAGCGAAGGCAGACAGTGGCTACTAGAAGCACTCGCTACCTAGTTCGCCTAGCGAATCCCTAGCGAAGGTTCGGTACTAGGTCGCTCAGTGAAGGTGCTGGCGAATGTATGCGATTTCACAAAAATCTCACTGTTCAGAATTCATCAGAAGCTCCAATAATCGACCGATTCTCGCCAAACCAGTCACAGTAGTCTTAGCCCCACTTCCTATGACTAAACTACACTACTTAATCTAAGTTTTATCCGATAAAACACCAACTCTACCGATTAAAATCATTTTCGACATAAAACCGTAAACCACTCAGAACATCCAACAAATCCCTACATTCATCACATGCAAGGCTAGCATAACAGAATTTCACCAATTTCCTATCAACACAAACACCATTCATTCATGGAACCAACAATCAGAACATTACAGCAACTTAATCATGATCAACAAATTCTTATGGGGTTAAGGAATCCCCAACTACCCCATTCATGCAATCACCAATTTTAACCCGTTTCTCCCCCCTTACCTCGACTAGTTGCTCTGATCGATGAAACTTCCAAGAATTCGACAACCTAGCCTTCTTCTTCTTCCTCTTGTTCTTGTTCTTCTTCTTCTCCCTCTTCTTTCCCAATTCACCGTGTTCTCTTTTCTTCCCCCTCTAAAACTCCAAAAATACCCCTTTAACACTTATTTCTCCTTATTTCTTTTAATTTCAATAATATTAATACCAATAATAATAATAATAATAATAATAATAATAATAATAATAATAATAATAATAATAATAATAATAATAATAATAATAATAATAATAATAATAATAATAATACCATTACTATTAATTATCAAATTATTATCATTATTAATTTTTATTATACTAATATTAAAGGTCATAGCTTCTTCCAAATTCTTTTTCTATTTCTTTTGTTTGTAGTTGTGGCTATGATTATGATGTTTCGTTTTTGTTTTTCAGGTGAGGTAATGGTTGTGATGTAGTAGGTGCGTCGATGGCGGTTTGGTTTAAGAGGAAAAGATAGTGAAGACCATAGGGGGTGGTGATGCAAAACAAAGAATTGGTGAGTGTTGGTGAAGGTTTTTGGTTGTGCTATGTGTGTTGATTTGTGAGAAAAAAAAGAACGAAGGTCTGAAGCTTCAAGATACGAAAAGGGCTCTTTCTCTCAATGAAGATTGAAAAGAGGGGGTTTGAAGATATTCGCCCCCTCAGATGAGTGCCCTCCTCGCCCTTTATATTTATGTTCTTCCCTTCTTATTTCATTTTTTAAAACCATCTTCTTTCTTTTTCTTTTGAATCTTATTTGATGTTGATGTCTTGTTGTTTTTGTAGAGATGGGTAGAAGATATCCAGTTGTTTTTTAAGCCCCCCCCCTTTTAGCAGATAAGTTCTCTCTCTCCTTTTTAATTCTGATGTATTGTAAGAAATCGGTTTTGAAACATTGCTATCCATGTGCAGGTTCTGGTTTTGGCAGTTTGTGGGAGATTTAGTCAAAGGTTTGGATTTTGAAGCTTAGTGGCATGATATGTGCTTTTGTTTTCTATGTTGTAGTTTTGTTCTAATTATATAAGAACCGGTTTATGTAGAGTAGTAGCAGGTTCATACATGGAGCAGGCTTTTTGGATGTTGTCTTGGCAGCTTGCGCAGGGTGTTGTATTGTTCGTACGGTTTTGAAACAGGCTTGGTGGCAGGCTGAGCAGCTGGTGAAATTGGCAGTAGGAATTTGACTTTGGTGTAAGCATGACTTGTAGAATTTGCAGGATGTCTTGGTAGAAGCAACGTGCAGGACTTTTGTCCT